TATATATATATATATATATATATATATATATGTATATATATATAGTTTTATTTCAAGGAATTGGCTTATACAATTGTAGGAGCCGGAAAGCCCAAAATTTGTAGGGCAGGCTCTCAGTCTAGAAACCTGGGCAGGAGCTGACGCTGCAGTCTTGAGGCAGAATTTCTACTTCCTCAGAGAAGTTTTGCTCTTAAGTTCATGCAACTGATTGGATGAGGCCCACCCAAATTATTGAGGATAATCTTCTTTACTTAAAGCCAACTGATGGCTGGTGTTAACCACATCGAAATATACCAGCAACAGCAACACCTAAATTAGGTTTTAATCAAATAACTTGGTAGCCTAGCCAAGTTAATACATAAAACTGACCATCACAGCACCCAATTCACATTCAATTCATGCCCAACCTTCAGACCCAAGGATAGAAAGCCCCTCTTAATTCACCATTGTTAGCAATAAAACAAGACACTGTCACTCACACAGTTTGTATGTTTTGTTTTGTTTTTTACTTTTTCATAGCATAAGTAGTATGCACAAAAAATTTTCCAAAAACTACAGAATAAAAATTAACCCTCAAGGGGCTGGCCAGTTAGCTCAGGTGGTTAGAGCACAGCCTTGTAACAACTAGGTCAAGGGTTTGGATCCCCATACCAGCCAGCAGCCAAAAAATAATAATTAATATTCAAGGAGTATGAAGAGTGGCCAAGCCCTCTGTTGAGTACTTCACTCTCTTTATTTCTTCTCACCTCTCCAGCTCTGGAGCAGCTGGGGTCTAGGGAGCACAACCAACACAAACAGACTGCTGAGTGGGTCAGCCTCTGCTGCAACTATGTGGGCTCCCCAGGTCAAGAGTCTTCATTGTTGGAAGCCTGTGGTGCCAAAATGGATGAATAATAAGATTTTGTTATGATTCAGTGAGGGCAGCAATTCTGCATCATGCAATGCAAAGAAGAAATTGAGAAGCAGGGAGGTGAGAAAGGCGTTGATGTTCCTGAGACCGATGCTTTGCCATCAGGCACACTATTGCATTTCCTTCCTGTAACTACTCTTTGTTTTATTTCATTCTTGCAACCACCTTCTTTGTGGTGTAGGAAGCAGACTCCCCAATAACTTAAGTGACTTTCTTAGGTCCCGTAGCTAGTATCAATAGATCCGTCTCACTCCAAAATCCATAAATATGCTTGAGTGAACTTTATCGTTAGCAATTCTATGTCCATGAGAAGTCTTACTCTACCTGTAAAACCACCTATTTTGTTACGTTCGTAAAGTCACCATTAGTGCAGTGAATAATTATGACTCCTCACTTTATGTAACACAGAGCTCACATCTCAAACATGTTGACAACATATGGCGTAGTAATAAGGTTTGGGATCCTGGTTGGTCACCCAGAGAGTCCCACCATGAAGGAATCCCCAAGTTGCTGAGTCAGATCCTCAACTTTTCAGGAGCAGAAAATTAAATATGCCAAAGACTCTAAAAGTTCAGTCTCACGAGAGATGGACTCACTCTAGCCAAGCTCAAAGGAGGCAGAAGTATGAATCAGACATGAAATTCATAAATCACCCTATCTCTGTGGGGAGGAATACCCTTTCCCAGCCATGAGAAAGCTCAAGCCACAATCTGGCTCCCAGTGTCCCTCCTCTCCTGCTCTTGCTCCCTGGCTCACCCTGCTCCAGCCACCCTGGCTCTCCTCAGACACACCAAGCCCATCTCTGCCCTGTGTCCAGGCCTTCATGCTGGCTCGCCCCTCAGACTTTCACATGCCTTCCCCCCCATGTCTTTCATTCAGCTCATCACTGAGAACTTCCTAATATTTAAATTAGGAGTCCCAACAGCAGCGCTTCCTCACTCCTTCCCTGCTTTATTTTTTCACCATAACACACACCATCTG